GGGGGGGATGGGGCATGGGGAGGCACTGGGGGCTGTAGGTGCTGTCCTCTGTAACTGAGCTGCTGAAGCCCCCGCGAAGCCAGCCCCTGTCCCCAAAGCCACACAGCAAAGCCCCGCAGAAATTTCAAACTGACTTCCAGCCGATTGCCAGCCTCTGAAAGCACCAGGGAGGCCAGTCCCAGATCATCTGTGATGCTCAGGGGTCCCGGCCCCCAGCTGTGGTACAGTGACCCGGGCATCTGCCCCTTCCCTTTTAAGGGCAGAGAGCATACAAGGCTGTGGCCAGGTGTTCATGAACCAGGCTCCCTGGGGACACAGCACAGCCTCTGGCAAGTTAACCTCTCTGGGCCCTTATCTGCTGAATTCATGGGACTGCGATGAGCAGTGGGAGAACACTGGTGCGGGTGATGTGTAAACCATGACACAAGAAAGGGGGCCAGGATTATACTGGAGAAAAAAGCGCTGGTCTCAGACCCTAAGTTCTGGTTTTGAGATCTGTCTTTGCCACTTACCTTTGAGTAAATCGGCTAACCGTTCTGGATCTCCAATTAATATCACCTGTAACCTCTCGAATGTCCCAGGGGGTGGGTAGGAGGATACGTAGCAAGGGCTTTGCCATCTGTGAGCGCTGTGCCTATTTGAGGGGTTTTCACTGAGCCCCTGGGAGTGGTTCCCGGGGCTCAGCCAAGGAGATAGAATCAGGTGCGCATTAGTAGTGGAAACAAAGCTAGCTGCTGGCGCTCTCAGACAGAACTTGTGTGGTTGTCAGGAGCTCTGGACGACGGCTGGAGGCCGACAGAGTCCCTACAGGTGGTGCCCAGGGTGATGCAGTGACAATGAGCGGGTGTTTTCCAGTTGCTGGCCTCCGATGCCTGTCTAGGGTAAGTGGGTCCCTCCAGGGGTCTCTTAGGATGAGGTCTCAACCCCCTTCCCATTATGGGGTGGAAGGAGCCCTATCCAGCCCCCTTTAGGCCTACCCTCATCTCTACTGGGCCTCCACTAATCCCTGGAAGCTTCCATCCCAGGTGTGGGGTCCTGCTGCTTTACGCACTCCAGGGATCCTGGGCCACTGAGACTCCCAGATGGATGTCGATGAGACCAGAGGGTGACTCTAGGGATGAGCTCGAAGGGACAGTGCTATTAGGGAGGCAGAGAGCTAGGTCCACATCCCAGCTCTGAAATTCGGAGCTTTGACTTCCGTTTCACAAGGTGGGCCAGGCCACAAACATCACAGGAATATCAGAGATCGAGTTAGGAAGAAGCCAGAAGGAGGAGTGGTTCCGTCTGGACTGACTGAGGTGGGAGGCCAGGAGGGAGAAAGGCAGTGTGGTGGGTATTCTGAAGCGGTACGTGATTTGCTCTCTGCCCATCCGCCGGCAGGCAAAGGTGGCGGGACAGGCTGCTGAGGGCTTCTGTGGCCTCCATTCGCTTGCCTTTCTTTGTGCCTCACACTTGCACTCTTTTTTTTTTTTTTTTTTAAGATTTTATTTATTTATTTGACAGCGAGAGACACAGCGAGAGAGGGAACACAAGCAGGGGGAGTGGGAGAGGGAGAAGCAGGCTTCCTGCAGAGCAAGGAGCCCGATGCGGGGCTCGATCCCAGGACACTGGGATCGTGACCTGAGCCAAAGGCAGATGCTTAACAACTGAGCCACCCAGGCGCCCCACACTTGCACTCTTGTCCCACGTCCTCTGTAGGTGGGACTCTGGTCCAAGGTCTCCACTTCCTGGACCCCCCCCCCCCCCCCTGTGCAGTCTGTCTCCAGGCACCCCTGGCATGACCTCCTCCTAGCCTTCCCCTTCCCCACCCTGTGCCCACTCCCTGCTCCCTCCCCTCTGCCTTTTCAGCCACTGCTGCTCTCTTTCCTCTCCCTCACCTGTCTCCCAGGTATGTCGTGGCCTGGCTCGGGAAGCTCCTACCTCCCCAAGCCCCACTGCTTCTGCTGCCCGCTGCCTTCGGACTCTGGCAGAAACCCCACCCGCTGACGTGTTCCTCCCAGGGAATTGGCAAGTGATTAGTTATGAGCTCTCAGCACAGGGCCCGAAAACTCCCTGGAGAAGCAGTGTTCCAACCTGGGACCCCATCTGGCTGGAAGCAGCTCCCAGAGAGCCTTCCTGGGTCAACCCAGCGACCTGGTTATTCCAAGAGCTAAAATCTAGTTCTCTGGCCAGTGCGGAGGCCCAGGCACTTAGCTCTCCAGGCCCAGCCCTTAGTAACCATCCAGGCCCGAGGACCTGGCATTCACAGTCCACATGCCTTGGATGATACCAACGAGTGTTCCCTGGAGCCTGGCCTATTGGCCACAGTCCCATCAGCTGGGCTTGGCCCAAAAAGGGAATGAGGAGGCTGCTTCAGTTGGGTGAATGCCTGGTCTCCCTGACCTACGTTTGTTAGGGAAGAAGGTGGAGAGCACTCCACACCAACAACAAGGGTCACTGGAAGTCTCCAGAACGGCCTAGTCCAGAAACCTCCCCCAAAGGGGTGTCCCCTTGGAAGCTGCGCTTCCCCTCCGTTAAGCTGACCCTGTTAAGCCCCGTGGCCCCAGAGGAGAGTAGCAGAAACAGGTGCTAAGGAAGCCCTTCTGGGTTCAGGAGGAGGATGTCTTCTGAGGATAAACCCCAGCACAGTTCACTGAGAGGCGCCAACGGGGTTGGGCAGGGGAGGCTGGGGTGGGGGGGCGGCGTTGGGTCCTCCGCCCAGCTTAACCTGCTTTGGGTCCTCCTCAGGTCTTGGATGTGCCAGCGCCTCTGGCCGTGGCCCGCTAACCAGCCTCTCCCGGGCCGGCCCGCGCCGCGCCCCCTCTCGCTTGCTCCCTCCTCCTCCTCCTCCTCCTCCTCCTCCTCC